CCACCCACCCACACCCACACCCACACCCCACAGCCACACCCACACCCACACCCTTTATATTCAATCTACAAAACTCATTCTATTTCTAGTAAATGTTGTCTTCATAGACACTTGAACAGTGTCTTATTGGTGTTCTGTCTTTACTGTTTTAGACTGCATGTAATATGCAGCAATAATACAGCATCGGATAAATTAGAAAATAAAATCATGTAACTACAATTAATATGTATAAAATAACAATAAAACGATCTAAATTAGGACGGAATAGGTAGACTAGAATGGTATCTTTTATTTTTTATATCACAGTTTTGATTCAGAAAGATATACAATTTATAACAATTAGAAGATCGTACAATAGTTTCTATTTAATGAACTCAATAGCTTAAATAACATTGAATATGATTGTTTATTATATTGTATTTTCCAAATGCAACAAGATTTTTTCATGTAAAACAAACTCACGTGGCATTTGTTTATAATGATTATTCGGCAAGGTAATTTCTTCTTGTTTTTACTCCAATGTTGCTCAACACAAACATAGAATGACATCATATTATGAAAAATTAAAACATTTTTTTTCTATTGCCTTGCGAAATTACATGATATATATGAATGTACATCGGTTACTCTTGCGTATTGACATATATTCTTCATATTGAGAACGCAATCATGGCAATCAATAAAGACTATGTTCCACAATTCAAATTAATTTTAATTGGTGATGGTGGTGTTGGTATTTTTGATCATTCTTTGTATTTTATCTAATATAATATACTGAACGCTTTTAGGTAAAACAACATTTGTTAAACGACATATAATAGGTGAATTAGAAATGAAATATGCAAGCAGACTTCCTTTTAGTGTGTATCCATTACACTTCTATACAAATTTCGGTGAAATAATTTTTAATGTTTGGGATACAGCAGGTCAAGAAAAACTTGGTGGTAAGTTAGTAAAATAGTGACTATCATTGATTATTTCTATTATTTCTTCAATAATAGGTGTACGTGATGGTTATTATATTGCTGGACAATGTGCTATCATAATGTTTGATGTAACATCACGTATAACTTATCGAAATGTCCCCCAATGGCATAAAGATATAATTCGTATTTGTGGAAATATTCCAATTGTTCTATGTGGAAATAAAATCGATGTAAAAGATCGAAAATTGAAAGCTAAATCCATAACATATCATCGAAAAACTAACATGAAATATTATGACATTAGTGCTCTATCAAATTATAATCTTGAAAAACCATTTCTTTGGTTAGCACAAAAACTAGCTGGAAATGATGATCTTCAACTTGTTTCTCAAATTCCATTAATAGTATGTCTTGATATAAATTAAAATTCTTTCTTCTAATAGCATCGATTTATTTAATTTTTAGCCACCTGAAATACATTTGGACCCGGATATGCTTCGAGAATATGAACTCCAACTAATTGAAGCAGCATCTCAGCCATTACCTGATGATGATGATGATGATGATTTATAAAGAAATATATCGACATATGTAAAAAATCAAAAATTTTTCAATAATAACAATAAATTATTCGTCCTTGTTGGTTATATATTTTTTTCTTATTTGAAAAACTTTTAGTATTAGTTTATGACGTACACTTTGTATGTTTAGATCTTACTGTTTGAATCGAGGTTTTTGAAGGTCTCCGTCCCAGAAAAGCCAAACTTCTAGATCTGGATGCGAGTTTTTTTTGCAGCGATATCTAGCACTCTTTGTAGGTGTGGGTATGACGTGTGGCTGTGGGTTTGTTGAAGAAAAGATTCATACCAACCCGAATATAATAAAAATATTTTTTGTGTGATAATTTGATTGTAATCTTAAATATGGATTCTGATGAGTTTAATTTAAGAATTAATTCATATTGCACACATATATTCTAGTTTTAACCCTTTGACCGCCGACGTAAGAGAAGGAAGAAATAATTTTTCAGAAAATTTAATGACTTTTCTATGGAATGATTGTATAGTGAGGCTTAACCAAATAGTGATTTGGGTGTGAGATGTATGGTGTGAATGCGTGTATTGGTGTGGGTTACTACTTCTTTTAGTTAGAACCGTACTATTATCAAAACCATATTCACACCCACACGCTTTTGTTTTTTATTTTCAACTACTGTAGCAACTAATTTTAGACAACACATATATTCATGTGATTTTCAGTAATTTCTGAGGGTCAAAACTGCTGATTTTACAGCTTATGACTAGTTCGTTAATGAATCATTATCCGTAACAGACAATGGCCTTATATATTTATCGTTCGACCTACATAATCAATATGAATACAAGTATCTAATAGTTCTAATAGATTAATATTTCTTTATGCAACACATCATAGTAGATGTCTTCTATTCTAGATTGATATACTTAGCTTGCACTGTCGAAAATTTACTGAAGATACAATGTGAACCAATGACAAAGCAAACAAAAATAGCACAACCATTTAATAATGAAAATTTTAAAAAATCCTGAAATAAGAAGTAGAAGATGCAAACTTCTACTTCTTATTTCAATTGCCTTGGTACGAATAATAATCTGTTTAGAAATATTTTTAATTTATTATCAATCTTGAAAAATCTGATTATCTTGTGTCAAAAATTTCACTTCTGTTTTTGTCTATCCTTACTAATGATCTATTATTCAAGCAAATGATGTAATTCAACAAGAAAATCAAGCATCTTCAATTGATTATACTTTTAGTAATAGATCAGGAGATTATTTTTGGTTAGAAAATTCAAATTAATTCAAAAGGATAATGCTGGTTATTTATCAACTAAACTATGATTTTATATTACTGAAGAAATATCTTATTGTTTGAATTTTTTTGTTATTATGTGGATATGGAGAGCCAAAAATAAGTAATTTATTTTGGTAACATGAACAATTATCAAAAGTTTTGGTTTATTATCAAAGTGCCTATTAGCTTAAATCAAGAATACCATTACCCAATGTTTTATATATTGAAAATTATAAAGATAATATTAATAGAATTAATAACAAAGTTTCCAACTTTTCCTTTCAAAAACTCCCAGCAAATAGTATTACAATCTATGAACATTTATGCAATTCTAGCTAAAATCATAGGATATATTACGCCTTACACTGATAAAATCATATTATTATTCATTGAAGGAGCCCGCTCGCAAAAGTCTTGCTTGACTATATTTAAGATCGTCTTATTAAGAGAATGAGTATCAGAAACAAATCAACAGCCATAGATTGACATGGAAGTAAAAGATCTGTGGTTTATTTTATAGTTGAAGAAAATAAAGAAAAGGTCAAAAATAAAAAGCACATCAAATAAAAAAACAAAGAAAAAAGAGAGAATCTTTTTTTATCAAAATGTTTTTGAAATTTTTCTGAAAAAGAACGTAGTCTCTACGATGATAGCATACTTACCAAAACAAAAAAAATGTCATACAAAAGAAATTGGTTTATGTCGAAAAACTTTGTGAGTGATTATTTTTAAAGAAATATCAGATAAAACTACATAATATCTCCTCAAATACTCAATGCTTTTCATTAGTTTTTAGACAATGACTTGTTCAAGCTAATAATAAATGTCAAAAGCCAACAAATCGTATTGCAAAATTTATTCAATATTATGTTAGCGACCATCAAATTTGTATTTATCTTGGTAAACATCGCTCAATGGCGCATTTGCGCAGATTTTTTAACATATAAGATATATAACAATTGTGCAAATGCGCTTGAAGATGATTGGCATTTTTTGAGGCTTTTGAAAAATTCGTCTCGCGTATTGTTGAAAAACTTTCGAAAGATAAATCCAAACATGAAATTAGTACCTTTTATTGAAAAAAAAAACAAATACAACAGTGAAGTCATGTATACAATTATGGATATCGAAAATTCTATAGATTGATTAGGTGATTAGTTCTTTATTCTTGTTTTTCAAACACAGCTTTTTCTTTTTCGTTGATCTGATCACTTATTATTTTTGAGTTGATTGATTATTTCACTATTTCTTTTTAATTACCTCGTTATTTCGACGAATCATTTCATGACTTTTTTTAATAATTTCATTACTTCTTTTAATAATTTCTTCATTATTTTCTATTATTTCAGCAAATTTGTTTAATATTTCTGTTAGTAACAATTGAGTATTATCATAATTCTAAAAAATTTTTTTTTGTTATGAGAATATTAATTTAAAATGAACCCGAATCTCTATGTGACAAAGATTGCGAAAACCGTAAAATTTTTATAAAGATAACGAGTTTTTTATCTGTACTACGTTGTAGAAAGCTGAAGACATAAGTTTTTTTTGTCAAAAATAATGTTTTTCATACTATGCAAAACTACATTTTAGATTAGTCACTAAAGTTATTATGTTTCATGTTTCATATCTGCAAAATTTTCATCATTCTCATAGTAAACTTAATTTATTTGTTTGATTTGAACTTGCAAAATATTATATCGATGAAATTTTTATATTTGAGTCTATTTATTTTGTTTTTGGAAAGATAGATACACAGTACTTTATTTTTCCTCGATGCTGTACTTCGCATATTTTGAAAAGGTAGAGAAAATCAAAATATATCCGTTATATATGAATTGGGGTGTGGGTGTGTTCTCATCATTCTAGGGTGCGGGTGTGGGTGTGGGTATAGGATGACAAGACCAATCGCGCACCCACACCCCCCCCCCCCCCCCCCCCCCCCCCCCCCCCCCCACCCCCCCCCCCCCCCCCCCACCCCCCCCCAC